TTCCTTCTCTTCTCTCTAACAAAGTGTAGCATGTGAATGGAATAGTACAACAAGACAAAGGATTACTATTTGGCTGTTTGGTTCGTGAGTTTGAGTTTTGGTGATTTTGAATTGAGTGAGGACCCGTTTAGTTCGTTTATTTGATTTTTTAATTTGAGTTGATATGTGATTTTATATGAGTGGGAGTTTTTTATTGTAGCAAAAAAATTATATGTGACTGTTTCTGAAAATATTTTACTGTAGCAAAACTCGAATCGGTGAAATAAATGGGACTTGAATTTGAATTAAAAACTTTAAACTATGATGATTTGAAGTAGTTTTTAGATACACAAATAAATTATAATTCGTTGTGAGAATAAAATCTTATTGTCTTTAAATAAAATGTTAAAAACTATCATTAGACTTTTGTAATAAATATAATAGATTTTAATATACTATATATATATATATATAAAGATTTGTTCTTCTCTTTATTATTATTATGAATGCATATTATCACTTCTATTAGTTGCCATAACCTTTTTTACAATTGGACTTTCTAGTCGTAGTCATGTTGAAATATACTAGGTACTTTTGTAGTATAAAACGTGATTATCATTGGAATAATTACTCGTAATTTTACTATGTTTTAAAACAACTAAAAAAAAACTGTTATATTTCAACTTCATTCTTATAAATTTACCATATGGTTCAATTTTCACCATCCATCTCCTCTGCAAAATTTAGTAGTTTGCCTTTTGCTAGTGTTTTCATATTAATTCCAGTAAATTTGTAATTATCGAACGGATTACTATTTATATTTAGGGAGAAATAGATAAATAAGTCCAAACTTGAGATGAATTAAAATTAATAGGTCAATAGTTTACACAAGTTAATAAATATGCTAAATTACTGTTTTTGTCCATAACTTATCTGGTTATGAACCATAACTTGACAAGTTATTGACGGTTTTTGTCCATAACTTGTATGACTATGAACCATAACTTGTATGGCTATGAACCATAACTTGACAAGTTTGTCCATAATTTATCTGGTTATGAACCATAACTTGACAAGTTATGATCTATTAATTTATATAACTAAATACTGGTCTATATATTTTCTTAAGTTTTTCATATTGACCTATTTTTTACTATTTCTGTTATATTTATTGGGTAGAATAATATGGTTTTCCACAATGACGGTTTGGAAAAAAACCAAAACCAAAACCGTTCATTTAAATGGTAGTGCATGGCGGTTTAAATTGATGATTTATTTAACATAATTTTTAAATTGACGTGATATAATATTTCAATTAATATAACATTTAAATTGATGTTTTACGTGATATTATTAGTAGACACATGAATCAAACATTGTATGGATGTATTAGCTGGAAAAATGAGAAAGTTCACAAATTTTAACAAATCACGTGGCTTAAATTTCACTCCCAAAATGGCATTGTATTGGGTAGGATCAGAGGAATAGAGTTAAATCTCTAACAGCCTAAATTTCCTTTTTGAAAGTAAATCCTATAACCACCGTTATGTTATCATAAGCTTCCCTTTTGTCTTAAGATAATTCATGAACTTAAAAAGCGTAATTAATACACGAAACAAAGCTTTTTTTTTTTTTTTTTGGGGATAACGGCTTTTGTAGGAGTAATGAAACCACATAAAAAAGTAGGAGGTACACGTAACAAAGCATTTTTTGGATAACGACTCTTGTAGGAGTAATGAAACCACATGAAAAAGGTGTAGATCTTTTTTATTACAGGTAGGATTTAATTTCTGATGGTTAGATTTAAAAAAATCACATTAAATTAAAAAATATGCATAATATATAATTTTTAATATAAATTTAATAGTTGAAATAAAAAATAATTAGTGATTTATTTCTTCTAATTTTATTAGAAAAATTTCCCAAAAAGTAAAGGAAAATATTTGTTTTTACTCCGAGTAACTTGAACAGAAAAATGCACATGGGAAACTAGGACAAACTTTTTCCAAAGAAAAAAAATGCATAACCCATTGTAATTTACGGTCTCATTCAGTCTATCAATTCAAATTTTTAATTTTAATTTTGTTATAATTTTTAATGGGTGAATTAAAAACAGATATAAGATGCATTAATTTTGAGGTTGGGTCCTATATATTATCCTGGCCACAAAAAGATAATAATCTGTTTATATTTTCAGTGCCCGGGAAAGTTCTCCAACCATTAAAATTTTTTTCCAGTTAGGGCAATAAATTACGGTTGATACTCGATAGTATCTTCCCTACA